CGGAAATCGGGTTTGAGTTTTATTTCGAATCGCTTATCAGATTGTCTCCGACGACGGAGAAACTTGCCCTAGATGACGCACCACCGGATTTGGTTAAGAAATTAGTGGATTACTGCAAAAACCATAGAAAAATTCTCATTAGAACGCATTTATTTTGTTTAAAAATTTGAGCATTTATTTATTTTTAATTGTCGTTTTTTTTTATTTAATAATAATGATTAGTTAATTGCTAATTAAATTAAGCATTTATGACAACTACATAAAATTTTATTGATTAACTTATTAATTTTTGCATTATTGCTAGAATTTTATACAACTAGAACACTAACACATCTTTGTTTTGTATATATGTATGCTTGTAGTATATGTAAATACATATGTAATATGCTTTAGCACATACCTATGTATGTATGTATAATATGCAATTAGATAAATAATATATTGTACAATATTAAAAAAAAAAATAGTTTATTGCTATATAAATACATGCGTAATAAAGTATGCGCCTTTGAAATTTAAACGTAGTACAAAGTTTTACGATAAAAAAATAAACATTGTACATACATACATATTTAAAAAGAAAAAAAAAACTAAACATCGAAAATAGTCAAAGAAAAATGCTCTCGTTCTGCGGAAGCACTCATAATGAGACAAAAGCTACATTTGGGTCTTGAAAAAGTTTATAGGATTTATGGGATTTTTTTACAGAATCTTTAATCCCTATGCTATGCACCACACAGTGGAGAAATTTATCTTTTTTTTTTTGTGACAAAGTTTAATATCTCGAGAACGAGAAACGCTGGGCTAGTAAATTTAATAATACTTTAAAGCAGCCCTGGGCATATTCGCTCTGCTTTAGAAGGCAGCGAAAGCTTCATTAAACCGCACGACTTGTTCGCACGCACACGGTGACATCAATTGCACGCACACTACAAAAATTCTCTGTCGAAGCTGCTCACCTCTGCTTTAAAGCTTTAGAGGTTGAGAATAGTCACGTTGAATAAGAAAAATTACCTTGACTTTAAATTACCCTAAAAAATAGAGGGTTGTAATTCTTCTGTCCTTTCTTGTCCTTAAAACAGCATGCAATGAAATTTGTTTTTTAAGTTTTGAACATATATTTTTGTTTTTCTTGCGTCAAGGAATCAACTTCCATGGTCGGAAGAACCGAAAAATACCTCTTAATTTTAAAGAACTCAATTAAATTCTGTTTTCGGGTCACATTTTTTGATTTTTGGCCTTTTTTGACTTAAAAAAAGTATGTAATGAAGTTGCTAAAATAAACCGCAAAAACATATGTTTAAAACTTTTTAAAAAGTTTATTGCATACTGTTTTCAGGCCAATAAAGGAAACAAATTGAAAATCCTCTATTTTTGAAGGTCTTTTTTCAATGTTGCAGTTAATTTTTTTATCCAATCATATATATGTACTATTTTTATGAATTCTCCAAAGCTTTAAAATGCTGTTAAATTTATTTCACTGGCTCTGCTCGTTTCCGCGATAATAGATTTTCTCACAAAAAACTCTAATTTTCCACAGTGTGCGTCAAGTATGTATGTATGTTTTACTTTGATTAAATTATATATCAACCACAATACGTTTTTATTTTGTTTTTATTATTTACTCTTCATTATAATTGCTTTTAATTTTCTGCATTTTTATGCAGCCCTTTTTGGTACTGGGTTTCAAATGTGATGATGGTGCGGTAGTTTGCCAATTTTATTTAACGCAAAATTTAAAAAAAAAATGTGCACCTATGTATGTATGTATATGAAATACGACCTTATGTGCATACGTACAAGTCGTTGTATCAAAGTACTACATATTTTGTATGGCAATTTTGAGTAAAAATATCAAATCACCTTAGAATATATTTTTTGTTTCAAAATAGTTTTAATTGCACATTCGCAAATTTATTTTTTAATTCCCATGTTTGGAACATGTAAGTATGTATGTACATATGAACATTAGACCGTACCACTTTACAGGCAAACAAAAAAAGTTCGCCGTAAACCCCTGGAGTCTACAGTATTTTTACAAGGCAATTTTGACCGAACTTAGTGGGCCGCCTTTTTAAATGTTTCGGTTACTCCTACATTCGACAATAACCTGTTTTTAAATGGTTCGGCTGGAATAATCAAAATACTTCTTCAGCTAAAGTCTACTGATTTTTGGTAAGCTTTAGTTTGCTGACATTAGAGTGGTATGTTAGGAACATAAGTAGTGAGATCTGATGGGTAAGTACTAGAACGTGGTACTTGAGACAATTAAATTTGGATCCAAAATAATTGTCTACTCGAGACAAGAACTTTAAGATCCGACTGCAAATGCCGAAGATATGATGAAATGTAAAAAAGGCAACCCCTACATGTGGCCAAGATTATTTTTATCGTAGGACGGATGGTATTGAAATCGGACTAAAATTACGGCCACTTTTCATACATATAACGGTAAGTTTCAGAAATGCTTGATACGTCGATATTTCGAAATTTACTCAAAATTTATGCTAACAGCAATGCGTTGAAAAGAAGTAAATTAAATAATATTAAAAAAAAATTCAGTGCCATGAATAATAACAATATGGGCCGCAAATGAGAGATTTTGGAATTGGAAAAAAATTTCGGGAAATGGGCGTGATACCGCCCACATATGACTATATAAGTTCATCTCATTATGTCTAACTGAACGATCTATCGAAGATGTTTGAAATAGGGGTAAAAAAAAAATATATTTAATACTTGCGTCGAGTATTTAATGTTTGGCTCCGCCCGAACTTATGGTCTGATTATGGCAACTTAACTTAACTTAACGGCTCTCACTTAAACATTCTCATAAATGAATGTTGCTTATAATTGAACAGCAGAAACTTAACGTAACTTACGGCCACGTCGAAATCTGTTTCATTTTGATTTTTTACGTTCTACGTTCCGTTATGTTAAGTTAAGTTGCCATAATCAGGGTTTGGGACTTTCTTATTTGTTTTAATTCAAAATTGTCTTGCAAAAATTCTTTAGACTCAAGTTTAGGCTTTGAATTTTTATAACGAGGTGCACCAGAAAGCAAACTAAAGAACCATTTAAAAGTTGAATTTCGAAATATATTTCATGTAAGGACTTTGAGTTGGTGATGAAGATGTTGGATTGGAGAGCATCAATGATTAAAAGCAGTTTTTATATTTATTTTAATTCGCAATTTTTTTAATGTAATTGAATTAATCTTAGTTTTTTTCATAATTTTCGTTTTTATTTATTTAATTTTGATATGTTTTTATTTATTTTACTTTATTTGATTTGATTGTATTTCGTGCGTTTCATTAAATTTTATTTTATTTTTATTTATTATGTGTTGTTTGACTTTATTGTGTTACTTGTTTTATTTGACTTTTTATTTCATATGTTATTATTATTACACTGCGCGAAAGTGAAATTGACAATCAAAAAAATCAACATTTTCGCGACACTAGGGGCCAACTATAGTAAAACTGCGTTTCTAGGTTTTCGCTCAGATTCCAGGATTAAAGAAAACTTTGAAATTTCAAGGACATGAACAATTAAAAAAAAAAAATATTTAAAAAAATTCAGTGCCATAAATTATAACAATATGGGCCGCAAATGAGAGTTTTTAGAATTGGAAAAAAATTAATTTTTTGGTGCACAAAAACGAATAGGTATACAAAATTTTAACCTTTAATATCCTTGAGAATGTCCAAACGGACCAATATGCATATATACATATACACGACCATATCGTCGAATTTGCTCCTTCTAACTTTATTAGTTTTAGGACAAAAAAATAATAATTAAAACGTCGTTTTATTAAAATTTTTTTAATTCTACAGAATTTTCCATTTTATTTGTTACCTATACTGTTAAAGTATAGTGCACTGAATTTTTTAAACAATTTTTTTGAATTGAAAAATATTGGCGTCAGAGAGAAAACCTTTTTTAGTTTTGCTACATGCATACATATATTTAATCCCTAGTTCCGTGAGTATATTGCTGGCTTCGAGTGTTTTGAAATTTTTTGGCCTTTATCGCACGGTGTTTTTAGTCTTTTTTTATTTATTTGAATTTGATATAAGTTCATTTAATTTAAATCATTTTAATATAACTGAACATTATTTAAGTTTTATTTAATTAATTTAAACATACTTCAATTTAAAATGAGCTATTTTACTTAATTTTCTTGTATACACCTTTTATTTTATTTTGTTTTATTTTATTTTATTTATTTCGTTTTATTTAGTTTTTATTTTTACTTTTGTGTGAATTGTTTAGATAGATTTGTATGCAGTATTTTCTTTGACTTTCTATTGTATTTTACTTTGGGCTATAATATATAAGCCAAAAATTAAAAGCTGTTTAAAAAAACTAAAAAAAAATTAATATACATAAACTAAACCGTAACATATATGAAACACTGCGCTTTATAAACACTCTAGGCACTAATAAAATTACATATTTTACTATTTTTTATAATTTTTTATGTTGTTTTTGATTTTGAATTACTTAAAACTTATTAATAGTTTATCTTTTAATTTGTTTATATACTAGAAATTAATTAAAATTTTACTTGTATTATTTATTTAAATACTCAAAATACTTTACATATGTAAAATATAAATCATTATTTTTTAAATAATTCAAAACTGTAGTGCAAACTTAAGTTTAGGATCACGATTTCTATGTTTCCACTTCAGCATCATTTTTCTACTCTCATTTTTCGGGCGTTTTCATTACATTGCATTTACACTCTTTGTGTACAAATGTATATACATATACATATATGTACATATGCATGTATGCATACATACATATTTACATGCAAGTATGTAATCTCATCAAAAAAAAAAAAACTATCCTTAACCATAAAAGATGACTTAAAACTTAAGCATGAGTAAGCACGGAAAATAGAAAAATATTTTTAATAGGCATTTACATATATTTTTTAAATATAATTACATACTTATGTATGTATGTATGTGAGTGTGTGTTTTTTGTATAGTATATATGCATGTGTTTAAGCAAATATGTATGTATGTGTAAAGCATTAATGTACTTTAAAAAATTAAGCACATTCGGAAGAATCCACATTTACATGAACGCGCACCGCACTTTCTGCACCACACTTCCTGCTAACCATCCACATTGGTGACTTCAACCGAACGCGGCGTATGTAGGTTGATGATCTCACAGCTTTTGGCATTCGCGAACCTTACATTATTTCTCACAGCGAACTTTATGTAATTTATGTGGGTGGCTTGGGGGCTCGTTGCTGTTGTCACGGCTAATTTATCGTTTGCCTTGGCGTACTGCCCTCAATCAATGCTCTAATCATCGTCTTTCTTGTCCGTCTTGAGGTCATATTTAGCACACAATTCTTCCGGTGTATAGCTGGAAAGAAAACATTTTTAATATATATGTATTACAAACCATTCCTGTCGATCACTGAGATAAACTGGGACAACTTACCCGATCAGATTTTGTAGATCACAAACAAACTTGTAGACGTAGCGCTTGCCAGCTGTCTTGTGGATAATATTTTTATCGTAATAGTAACGTAGACCTCTGCTGAGTTTTTCATAGTTCATTTTTGGTTTATTCTTGCGAATACCCCAGCGACGAGCGACCTGGAAAGAGAATGGAATATTTTAGTTGAAAATCAGATAAATGCAAGTGTAAATGTACATAAGTAGGTTTCTATAACTGCCCTGTAGGGAATTCTATTAGTTGCGAACTAGAATGCTCCCAGTTTGCATTTCAGCCCAACGACTTCGCGTTCTATCCTTTTTCAATGTTAACGACTGGTATATTTAACATGGCAGTATCCTATGAGATGTCAATTGTCTGACTATGCATCAGCATCTACCAGTAGAAATACTAGTAGTATCATACCATTTGATGGCATAGTCTGCCACTTCAACCACGAGAAAAGCATAAGTGAGGTCCGAGGTTGAAGTCATTGGTTAGGGAAAATATTTTTTTCTGTTTTCAAGATATTTTTTTTCTTTAATTACATAATTTTTTTATTGTAATTTTTAATGTTTTTTTTTCAAGAAACATATTTTTTTCGAATGCCATTTCATTTTTATGGTACAAGTATTCATTTACATATATATGCACGTTTTTTCTCAAATAAAATTAGATTATAATTTATATTTAAATTGAAATAATTAAATTAACTTACATTAATTTAATTTTAAAAATCTTAACCACCTCCAAGTAGTCTTCCCGCGATGCCTCAGCAAACATTTGTAAGAAAATCAATTAATTGCATTTTATTTTTTACGCTGACAGGTCAATCAAAGGCAGATGTCGTTGACGCTTAAGTTTTTTGAAATTGTCGAACTCGGCCATCGCTTTAGCTCATACTAAATAGTTTATGAACTGTTATTTTTATTGACTGGTTTGACTTTTCACTGCAGGATGCTTTCAACTTCGTTCGGAAACTGGTATGTGTATTGATTAGTTTTCGTGCTTAGCTCAGTTTAGTTCCCACAATTTTAATTATATATAATAAAAATCCAAATTGAGGAAAAAACTTAAAAAAAACAAGTGGGTTTTTAGAAGACCCCAGCTTGGATAAACAGTGTTATCGTCCGGAACATGGTATGTTTAGGGTTAAGAAAGGTGTTCTTGGTTTTTGTACAGTTTACAATTTTGCACGCATCTGAATTTAATTTAACACACTTTTTTACGGATTCTCAGCGCTCCAAAAATCTTCTTTTACCACTCAACTTCTATCTATTCTATCTAATTCTCTTAGATATTATATCCCCTATAACCACATACGCCACGTTCGCTTTTTCCAAAACTCACCTCATCTGGATCGGTTAACTTGAATTCCCAGCCATCGCCCGTCCACGAAATAAAGCCCTGACATGTCTTATCCATTAGCAATTCCAATAGAAATTGCCACAGCTGTATGGGCCCAGAGCCGGTAAAACATGGCACACCTCCTTGCATGGGGTACGCTCCCATCAGCGCCTTCTCCAAACTCATCGTATTCATATACGACGCTGAATGTTGGCCCGCATGATGCACTCCCCATTGATCGACCGGCGATTGCCCGGCCATTGTTGGGAATCGTGTTGGATCGTAGCCGCCATACTCGGAGCCATATGCATCGGGAAATGGTGATCGACCATATGCATTGTATTTTTGTTCGTTGCTCGACGCTGTAATGCCATAGAAATCGGAATTATCCTGATAACTCGGATGCTCTTGCGACGAAAGCGTGCTATGATAGTCGTTGTCATCGTAGTGTACACCTGAAGCGGCAGCCGCTGCTGCCGCAGCTGCAGCACCGGCCAGATGCGCGGGTAGACCGTAAACGGATGAAACGGAGAGATCAGCGGGATCGGTTTGGCCATTGCTGCTGCCACTGCCGAGGCTTGAATATGAGGATGTATTTTGTGTGCCAGGTTCCTCTTTCATCTGATGTTGGGTGTACAGTGCTGCGGCAGCAGCAGAGTTTCGTATCGCCATTTGCATGTAATTCAAATTGGCACTATTGTTGTTGTTGTGGCTGGGGGTTTGACCGCCCGACTGGTTGGCGTTAACGCCTGGCGCGTTGCTATTCACGGCGGGATTGTTGGACTGCTGGGATTGTTGTTGTTGCTGCTGCTGTTGCTGTTGCGCATGAGAGAGCAGTGATGCATTGCTGTTCGCATTTTGCGATTGTTGTTGCTGCTGCTGCTGCTGCTGCTGCTGCGTTTGCGGGGGCGGGCTGTTGTTACTATGATCGTGCGGATTACTACTGTAGCCTGGAATTAAGAAAAAGTAGAATGTTATTCTATTATCTACAAATGTATCCGCATAAATATGTTTGCACAAGGAATAAGAAAAGTATGAAAATGTTGGTGGAAGTGAATAAGGAAGAAGGGAATATTTTAAGTAACAGTATTTGCGAATCTGAAATTCAGAATTAGGCGATGCTCGAAGGTTTTATTTTGGACTAGTTATCTCTGTGCTTCTCAGCTAAACAAAACAAAACGGCTTAAACACATTTCGATTGCCAAGTACTTACGTAAGTACGTACATTTATATATATTTTATTTATTATTTAAATCCATTTAGTTTTTTTTTTGAGCAGATGGCAACCCTCTTTAAGAACATTTTAGAAGTAACGCTTTCTTAAACCTCCCGCGCTTGGCACCCATATTAGAATATTTCATGAAACCTTTTAATTGGACTTATTTTGAATTTTTAAACAGGTGGCAACCCACGTCAATAATATTTGCGATCTAAAGCTTTTTTAAAACTATCTCCTTAGATACCCGTGTAAAAATATTTCATTTGGCTGGTTAGTTAAATGGATTTTAGCTTTTTCAATAGGTGGCAACCTTCTTCGATATTGTTTTCGTAAATAATTCGTTTCTAAAGCTTGGTTTTCGTTATGTCTAATTCAGTGGCGTTTGTCGTCAAATAAGTGAAAACTCAATGCCAAATGGGATTTAAGAGCGATTTAGCGATTGATTTGGATCAGGATAGGTCTTTAGTCGTGTAGGTACATGCGCTGCGAAATCGGCTATCTGTCAGTTTTTGGCCAATAATATCATCGGTAAAGGTATGGATAAAAAGTGAAAAAAAAGTGGTAAGGAGATAAAGTTTTGTCAAAATATGTCGCCAAATTTTGGCGTCAAAATATGACATAGTGAAAACCAGTCTTAAGGCAGTTTTGCTTGACACCCACATTGTTTTAATATTTTACTTATTTATTATTAAATTTTTAACTATTGAGAAGGTTAAAAAAATATTTTAAAAATATCCCATACCGATGACTTAGTAGAAGATCGACCTATGTCGGCAGACATTTCGAAAACGCCCTAACTCAGAAAACGTTGGAAGAAAATGTATTGAAAATGTGCTGAGATAGGGCGTTTTTGAATCGGCTGCTGAGATAGGTCGAACTTCCACTTAGGTATCGATATGTTAAAACTTTTAAAGTGCTCTTTCTTCCATTTAAAAAAATGTTCATTCATAGCTACATACATACCTTGTATGGAAGAAAATATGTGGTACCGTCAGGTTTTACTGAAAATTTGTTGAATTTTTATAATTTTTGTACCAACTTTGAAACTGGACTTACATACATATGTACATATATGGGTTTTGTAATAGAAAAAAAAGAATTAAAATTAAATAATAAAAAAATAATAGCCAAAACTTGCCTATATGTTGGGTGCTAAGCTAAAAAAACGGAACGCATCTTTGATCAAATAAAAAATCAAACTAAACATCATTCTCTTCATTGCAAAAAAACTGGCTAGGTACATTTTAGTCGGGTTTGCTATATTTTTGCCTACAAATGAAATTTATTGAGTGGCCACACTGATCTAGACTAGCACTGTATATACTCTATGAAATAAGCTGTAAGCCCCTGCAATTGCCCTAAACTTATTTCCATGCACTGTATAAAATATTAAAATGGTTAGTGCGTTGAAAGTTAAAAAATGCTCGTGAAAAAGTTGAATGGTCAGGTATAGGGTTAAACAAGTTACTTTTTCTCTCAACTAAAGTAAAACGCACTGAAATGCCCACTAATACAAGAACACATAAAATTACACAACTCTATGCAAATCATATTTGTTTTTGCACTGAACTACTCAAGCGCAAGCGCAGAAAAATAAATAGTAAACAGAAAAAAAAATTAAGCTACAGCAGCCAGATTCCTCAGAAGGCGTGACCATCATCCAATCGTCTTATCTTCAATACGCCACTTCACATACAATAACAGCCCATATAGTGACTTCGATGAAATTCGAAAACCAATCAAAATTCAACTCATCACCAATACAAAAGCACAAGAAAATAAAATGAGCTCCAACTGTAGCCAAAACAAAAACAAAAAGTCTTTGTAAATATGTATGAATGGACATACCTACATATGTACATACATTTAGTTTGAGCAAAGCAAATGAATCGGGTGATTGCCACTGGGAGTATATGAGTGTAAATGGGGTTGTGTACGTGTATGAGAAGAGCGTACTGCTCCAACTGTGCTCCAACATACGCTACCTAGGCAACTGCACTGAAATTATGGAAATAGAGATATGTAGTTATAGGCGAGCGAGAGTTCATTCATTCATTACAAAGCGCGCACATTTGAGCGGGAACAATGTGAAATAAATATACACACTTTACGTTTACAAAAAGTTAACCACAATCTGGGGATGACTATATACAGATACATATGTACATTAGGCATTTGACTTTTTGGGTAATTGAATGCACATTAGGGTGGTCCAAAAACAGTAAATTCGAAATTGTAATGCTCTCACCCCTAGGATTGTTCTATAACGAAAAAAATATACCCATATTTTTTATTTTGAAATAAAAAAATTTTTAGAGGTCGCTCAAAGTGCTCAAAGTTTTCCATGTATTTTATACGTGAAAAATAAAATTTTTCGTAGACATGGTATAGAATTGATTTATTTTGGAACGAATTTCCGTCATCCCTTGTCAAGTTTGGTTTGCAGACAAACCGGTTTCGGCATTGTGTCATCTTCAGTGTAATTTTTCGTTCTGGTATAGAATTCTTGAAAATCAATATTTTTGGATCGGAAAACTCTGTTTCTCTTCAGGAGACTTTCAATAATAATAACCAATTGCTTATTTAACTATTTTCTAATAATAACGATTTTATATTGGTCGACCCATTGCATCTTTCGGGGTTTTTGGCAGACATATAAATTATAGTTGCGATGGAAAAATGGTTAAATAAAAAATTGGGTGTTATTGTTGGGATTCTCCTTCAGATAAACAGAGTTTTCTGGTAGAAAAATATTGATTTTTGATATTCTATACCATTTCTACGAAAAGTTGTTCTTTTCCCCATATAAAATACATGGAAAATTTTGGGCGCTTTGAGCGACCTCTAAATATTTTTTTGATTTCAAAGTAAAACAAGTAGGAAAGTCTAAGTTCGGGCGGAGCCGAACATTAAATACCCGGCGCAAATATTAAATATATGTTTTCTCCGAAAGCTACCGCTACATGGTAAGCCAGGGTGTTTAAATTTTGAGAAAATTAGCATCCTTAAATTTCGAAATATTGAAGTTTCAAGCATTTCTAAAATTTACCGTTATGAAGAGCCGTAATTTTAGTCCGATTTCAATAATTTTGAACGTTTTGCTATTGTGTGGCAAGCACAGTAACCATACCGAGTTTGGTAGAAATTGGTAGAACGGTTACCGAGGTACATATATGTGATCATAAGTGGGCGGTGCCACGCCCATTTTCCAAAATTTTATCATAAACGTATTTCTTGGTAAAGAATTGTTGCAAGCGTCAATTTTGAATAAATCAGCTTTAAAATTTACTGATTTATCGAAGATTTCGTATTTCTCTAAATTACCCTTATATGGAATGTGGGCATGGTTATTGCCCGATTTTAAAAATTTTCGGCCATTTGCTATGCTGTGCCAAGGCCAACAACTGCGCCAAGTTTGGAAGAAATCGCTGCAGCGGTTGCCAAGATATACACATGTAACCATAAGTGGGCGTGGCTACGCCCATTTTTCAAAAATTTATAATATTCTTATTTTTTGTCTAAAATGATTGTAAATATCAATTTTAATTGAATAATCTTCAGTAGTTACTAAAATATCAGTTTTCGTATCTGAAAATTACCGTTATATGGGAGGTAGGCGTGGTTATTGTCCGATTTTGCCCATTTTCAATACCATCCGTCCTACGCCCGACAGACAGATGGACGGACAGACGGACGGACGGACGGACGGACGGACGGACGGACGGACAGACAGTCACCGCTTAATCGATTTCTCTTTTCATCCTGATCATTTATGTATACATTTGTCTACATCTATCTCGATTCGTTTTGCCTGTTACAAACAACCGTTATGTGAACAAAGTTATAATACCCTTGTGCACAAGTGCGCTCGTTTATAAAAATAAGGGTATACTTTTTTTCGGTATAGAACAATCCTAGGGGGTGAGAGCATAAAAATTACGACTTTACTTTTTCCACATGTATTTTAGGACCACCCTAATGTGCATATGAGGAGAGGATGGGGAGTGATGAAAATCTAACAAAAATAACGTTTTCGTCAAAATTTGGTACCCAAGTTTTTGGTTGACTTGAAATTTTTCATATTTGCATACATATTAGGGTGTTCGAATATACGTCTTTTTTCCTAACCCGGCTTTCGAGTTATTCGAAAAATTGCAATTTGAGGAAACCGATTCCCGATTTTGAAGTTAAGAAAAAATCGGATAAACCGGTTTTATTTTACATAGATTTCATGCAATGAAAATGCTTATGTGGTTATGAAGTCAAGACCAAAAATTACAATAAAACTTTTAACAGTCAGGATAGCTTTTATTTAGGAAAGAGCAAACAAAATAAGTTCAAAGTGGTTGTTTAGATCAAAAGTAAAATAAATAAAGATCAGTGAAAAATTCACTTTTGGTCTTATTCATGGGGAAATTATAAACAGGTGTAGTAAAATAAAATAGCTTTTTCGCTTTATTTTCTTAATATTCGGCAATCTTAGAAATTTTTAAAGGTCAAGACATTTTTTCAAAATTTTTCTTTTTCATGAAGAAATATTCCTAGAGCATCTAGATGCATTTCGACCCTATTAAGCTGGCATTTCAGGGTACTACTTTATATATATATATAAGGAAAATTTGAAAGTTAGGGGGGGCTCGAGCACCCCCCTGCCCCTACCTGGCTACGCCCATGGTTACATCCCGAGCTAATAAAAGAAAGGTAAAAAAAAGAAGCTTATTCAGCCGCTCC